CCTCCGCGGTCACGTGACCAGCATGACTAGACACGGAACATCGTTTACCTCCTGACCTAGGTGGTGCCTATTTATCTACAGTACTTGCATTTTGCATGCTTTCGAACCTCTAGGTTGGTGGGAGCTGGGACAAGCGACCGGCGCTTACTCCATCATGTGGATTTGATCTTACGACTGCTGGTCTTCTGACCTTGCAGCACAGAGGCTTCTGAGGTTTAACCCGCAGTGTAGATGCCTGCAGAACATGCGCAGATTAAGGACCAGACAGGGGTTGGACCAGAAGGTTCCCCTCAGATTTTCACGTGAATTCAGAGTAAGTGGCTCCCTGCCTTTTTTCTCTCCAAGAAATATTTCTAGGAGGAAGACATAGATGCCATCCAGCTATAAAAACCAAGCACTAAAGTTATTTTTAAAGGTAATTAACTATTTTTATAGTTCCAAGTCCCCCAAAGTAATAAAAGTTTCAACAGGTTTGCTTGGGTTGGGACTAGCTGTGTGTTTCAGCTATGACTAACTCTTTCTCATTATTAAAACAGTTCCTTTACAGAGATGTTAGTGCCTCAAACATCTGCATGCGAGACGTCAGTGGTCAGGTACAATACATACTTTTTACATGTCCACTTTGGCCACACTTCAGCAACCATGGGAAAGCATAAGCACACTACCAATATATTCCTACATCTACACACACGGAGTAACCATAAAAATAATTTATATGTGACATACCATAAAAGGAGTAAAGTTTATCCCTAATGGAATTGTACTATGAACTTTTTTTTTGGAACAAGAATTTCCAGGGAAAAACGTACTCGTTTGGTCTCTGTCTGATTTCAACAAGTAACTGATCATTTGCCATGTACTTAGCACTGCTTTTTACAAGGGCTATACCATGTAACCGAGTAATTAGTTGCTTTGATTAATGAATAGAAATGTCTTTCAACTGACCAAAAAATCATTAATAATAGGCAATATGTTTGTTTGTTTTTAAATGTTGTTTTTAGTATTTTTAGTTTGGATAGAAATTTATCTATAAAAATTGCAGGTAGCAAGAACCAACTTCAGAAAAGTCCCTTTTCCTTTTCTCGGTCACACTGAATACCTGTTCTAGGAGTCATTCTAAGTGAGGGGTGGTTTCCTGCTCAAAACAAATTTTCACCATCATCATCATTATGTGCTGTCAAGTCAATTCTGATATAAGGCAACACTCTTCAGGGTTTTCCAGGTAGAGAATATTATGAAGTGTTTCAACCATTCCTTTCTTCTGGGGGGTGGGTGCCCTGGGACTGTGCAGCTTGCCCAAGGCTACACAGGCTGGCTTTACTCACAGGAGGCGCTATGGGGAATCGAGCTTGCAAACTCTAGCTCTTCAATAAGGTAAAGGTAAAGGTTCCCCTTGACAATTTTTGTCCAGTCATGTTCGACTCTAGGGGGCGGTGCTCATCCCCGTTTCCAGCCATAGAGCCAGTGTTTTGTCCGAAGACAATCTTCCATGGTCACATGGCCAGTGCAACTTAGCCACGGAACACTGTTACCTTCCCACCGAGGCGGTCCCTATTTATCTACTTGCATTTGCATGCTTTCGAACCGCTAGGTTGGCAGGAGCTGAGACAAGCGACGGGAGCTCACGCCGTCGCGTGGCTTCGATCTTACGACTGCTTGGTCTTCTGACCCTGCAGCACAGGCTTCTGCGGGTTAGCCCGCAGCGCCACCACGTCCCTTGAGCTAGCTCATTATTTTTTGTGGTGGTGGAGGGGAAAACGGGCTTATCTCAAGGATGGAACGAACGCATTGCACACCTTTGAGGAGCCTGAAGGAATTTGCCTTTTCAAACCCTTCTTTCTTAGATCATGCTCGCATAGACCTTGTAATCAATTAACTAATACAATCATGTGACCAATCAATGAAGATTTCTTTAAGTGGGCGAAAACTCATCCCATTGCCAAATCTCTTGCCTCTAGCAAGCGGCCATGCCAGAGAGCTGATGGGCATGGAGTAACATCATTTATACCAGGGTCTCTACCAAGGATAGAGAACTTCTGATCCTCCCAGCGCACTGGCCATGTGACCATGGAAGATTGTCTTCAGACAAACGCTGGCTCTATGGCTTGGAAATGGGGATGAGCTCCACCCCCTAGAGTCGAACACGACTGGACAAAAATTGTCAAGGGGAACCTTTACCTTTACCTTTACCTCTACCAAGGGCAGAGAACTTCTGATCCTCCCAAATATTTTAGACTTTGGTTCCCAGAAGCCTGAGCCAGTGCAAGGATTTGCAATTTAAAATATTTAGAGGGCCAAAGAAGGCCCAACCTTTTGTATATTGATTTTCTATTTTTTTAAAAAAAAAAATCATTTTCTTGATTCACATAGCCGATGCAATCAAAAAAGCACTGCCAGGGAGATATTAGCATTCTTGGGGGGTCCCCAAGGATTTCCACCATGTAAGAAATATCTATAGGAAAGGATGCTTTGGGACCAGCAGGGATGCGCAGCGGGCACATTACAATGGGAGCATGGCCACCCAACGATGTCTTGCTGCCAGTCCTGTCCAACTCTTTGCTTGGAGCTGAGGACTGTGAGCCAATAAACGTTCCCCTTTGGGATGTATTACTTTATACAGGTCGCATTGCTAACCAGACAGCCCTGTGCCTGGGACTGTAGAAATATATGCCATCGGATACAGTGGGTTTGCTTTCTGGAGAGTATCCATATACAGGACTGAGATCCACAAGACGTTTTGAGTAGAAGGAAGAAATATCCCTCTCCTTGATGAGCAGAGATGTACTTATCTTGCAAATGCTTGCAGTTCGTGTAGGAAAAGGGGCACAAATTGTTGCATTTTTCATTTCATGGCTGCACTCTTCACTGTTGTCCTCTTAAATTAGGGTGGCTGATAGCTTCAGCCTAAGACACTCAGAAAATCCTTTCCCTTTCCAGATGTAGTCAGAGAAACAACCTGGACTGGCAGCTAACTCTTCCTTCAACCCTGACAATAAGGCAGTCTCCTTAACAGCACTCAAGAGACAATATGTGAGTTTAAAAGATGTGAGACAGTGATTCTTGCATGGGGTGAATTCAGAATTCAGGGCAGGGAGATTGTCAGTGGTCCCCTCTTATTCTCTGCTGGCTATTGCAGTGACTTCAGTCTGCCTAATGATCGGGGTGGCCGTCCGGTTGCTGCTGGATCACAGTGTCCTGCATTCCTTACCACTGGTTATACTGACTAGGGCTTATGTGATCTATAGTTGAACAACCTCTAGCCTATGCCCTTGTGTGTATGTATTTGGAGAGGTAGGCTCTAGTCCATAAAGAACATCTGTGCCGCCATTAATTACACAACAACATTTATAATCCACTTTTTCTTCTATGGTGAAGATCAAAGCAATGTAAGATATGGGACAGAATTCTGGCTCCTGTCCTCTGAAGATGCCGGCCACAGAGACTGGCAAAACGTTAGGAAGAAAAACCTCCAGAACACGCCCAAAAAGCCTGAAAAACCTGCAACGACGAATGTACGATATCCTCTCCCTTTCTGTCTTTCTCTCTCTTTTTTGTGTAAAGGGGGGGGGGAATCTGATTTTCAATTAAGTCAATTGATTGCAAACATATAGTTAAATTCTAAAATGTACTAAATGCAACTGGTTTCTTCCACTAATTATACTGTTCATGTAAATACCCTAACTGAATGCCATTCATTCAGGAACATATGTGCTACATGTATAGAACAGAGCAAAGTGACAATATTCATCAGACACTGTTTCAAGAAAGAGAAAAACAATACGGAAACAAACAATATGCCCATTTATAATTAGATCAAGCTGAATAAACTGAAGGATCCAGTCGTTAACTCCATTCCTGGAGTTCACAAATGCATTCTTTTTCTCAGCTTCAGCAAGGTCATAGCAAGAGACCAAGATCCAGACCATCTTTTGACCCCAATATAGCTAGTAAGGGTACTTGAAGAACTGTAGAGTCATGGAATTGTAAACCCTTCTGTAGAATCAGAAGGGTCTCCCAAAGCTCACATCCTGCGGATGCAGGAAATGCACAACCATCATCCATGCATGTCAGAGGAGTCTCCAAACACTTCCAAGAAAGAAAGGGGTCCGTGGGTTTGGCCTCACCTCTCCGATGAGGGGGCTGGAGAGTCTCCAAAGGCCTCCCTTTTAATACTGTTGCCATTCGTTATGCTTCTACCCCACCTGTGGATGATTCCGTGTACATGGCTCACCTCTTCTCAACAACCCTTTGAGGTAGACCAGGCTGGAAGAGAGTGACTGGTAAAGGAGAAACACGGCATTTACAGTGGTGCCTCGCTAGACGATGACAATCCATTCCACTGAAATAGCTGTTTAGTGAAATCATCGTCTAGCAAAAAGCATTTCCCCATTGGAATGCATTGAAACCTGTTTAATGCATTCCAATGGGGAAGAATTGTCATTGTCTAGCGAAGATCGGCCATAGGAAAGCCGCTTTGCGAACCGCTGGTCACCTGTTTAAATCTCTGTCTTACGAAGCTTGGGTCCTGAAAACACCTGTGTGCGAGTGCGGAGGGAGCTGTCAAAATCATCATCTAGCGAAAATCGGTTTGCGAAGCAGGGACCAAACATTGTCCAGCGAAATTCCCCCATAGGAATCACTGTTTTGCGAATCACTATAGCGATCGCAAAAAGCCAATGTCTAGCGGAAAAAGTGTCATGCGGGGTAACTGTCTAGCGAGGGACCACTGTAATTGCTCAAAGAGGATTAGAACCTGATTCTCCCAAACCTCAGTCCAGCATCCACGCTGGCTCCTTTTAAGCTGTCCCAGACTTCTTCTTTTTTCCCCAAAAAATCTCTGAGTGCTTGAGTTTCCACAACCTGACGGTGACAAGTCACAGTAACGTCGGCATGCACACGCACTCTAAAGACAGAGGCCCATAGAAGTGGCCATCCCGTGGGGGGGGCCACAGCCTTCTCTTGCTGGCATTCTCTTTCTATGGCACAGCCCACTCCCAGTGCCAAGCTGCCTGTCTCTTTAAGCCTTGAAAGGGTGTTCGTTAGAAGCAAGGGGAGTTGCTGTGAAATAAGCTGGCGTGAGCAAGAGAGAGAGAGAGAGAAATTAAAAGCACCCGAGGAAGAGCAGCTCCTCAAGTCGGGCTGATCGGTTCTCCCCAGTCAAGAAGAACTGGGTTAAGTCGGCCAAGGCGCACCGCTCGGCTTCAGCACCTGCAGAAAAAACAAAAGCTGATCCAAAGGCAGGAGGCAGGAAGGCACTTCTCATTAAGTGGAGCAGAAAAGCCGATCCCTTACTTCCCAGCGTGTAACCACCTGCTGTTGCCCACCCAGGATGGACTGCTGTAATGTACGTATATGCCTGGACTTTTCTAAAACATACAAACTGTTTTCTAATTCTATGTGGAAGACATGAACGGGAGGGGGGGTCGACGTGTGGATTGCTTTGGTGCAGTTGCTTTTATTTCTGAAATATTATGTGGGCAGCCTGTGATTTCAAGGTACGGCATGGGCGTGAGGCATTCTTTCACTCTACTCCCTCATTGATGAGGGGCAGGGGGAGAAGAAGACACTCCCATACTTTCTTCACCCTCTAAGACATCCCAATTTGGGGTCAGGGGCAGGAAGGTGATATAACCAGGGCTCTTTGGATTGAACTCTGTGGCATCTTGCACATGCTTTTGAGTCGGAAGAGATTAAACCATAGCCGGTCTTGGGAGTCTGCTGGACTCTCAATGAGATGCGTGTTGATTTTTCATGTCATTTTATCATTTTTTGTTTTAAAAAGAGGCTGCTTTCCTCACACACACACACACCGTCGGCTTCTCAGTATGGCACCGTGATTTCTTATTGCCGGAACGCTGAGCGGGAAATAATAGGATCAGCAGAACTGTTGGTTTCTGTGTGGGTGTTGCTGCTTATTCTTGTACCTACACGGGGGAGAAAAAGAGAGGAAAGAAAACAATGTATTTGTGTGAAAGGGCTGAGGAGGAGAAACGGGCAACAGATTCTACAAGAAGCAAGGATGGAGGGTTCTAATCCCCAACACCACCTTTAAGAAAAACTCACTAAAATACTGAACTTCGGCATCTCAGAACTCTTAAGCAGATCTGCACTTTTAAATGGCCAAAGCAGCCGAAGTTTGAGTCTGGTTGAGAGGTGTACATCTTTTGAGAAATTTGCCCTCTCGTGTCATTTCGCTTTCAAGCCTTCAAAACCTGGGTGCCTTCCAGATGGCATTGGCTGACAACTCCCATCATTCCGAGCCAGCATTCATGCTGGCTGAGGATGATGGGGTCTGTAGTACAACACCATATGGATGGCATTGGGTTGGGGAAGGCTGCTTTAATGAGTTTAATCGTCACACCTGTCTTAATTGCCTTTGCTGTGTTCCCCACCATCTGGGGGATATTCAAAGTTAAGAACAGCAGGCTATTCTGTAAGCCATTCACAGCCACTCCCCACACATTATGATTCCCTCCATGTTCTGTTCTTTGAAGGATGTGGATATTTGTTAGTGTGCAATCCTAGGTTTGTTGCTTCTTCCAGATCTTGCATTTGGGGCCAAAGAAGCTAAGTGGTTGGAAGGATGTAAGATATTACATTTCAGCCCTACAAAGGCTGGGGTCTGCTTTGAACTGTAGAAAGCATGTCATAGTCTGAGGATGGTCTTTTTCTAATGTAACTTTATCCAGAAGAGGAAGGAATTGTCTTGGTGTCTCAGTTGGTATATTAGTTATGTAAAAATTAGCAAAAAGCAATATACTGTATGGTCGCGTGGTTCTCCGAGGGTTGTGGAACTTTCTTCTCTTTTTTATTGTCCATCTGGTGGTAGGAAAATTTTTTTCCCCCCAAGCAGTCTTTGGCAACTGACCGATGGACCAGAAAGGGGTCCTTGAGGTGCAGGCAGTGTACGGTTTATCAGTATATTTTTACACTACTTTTTAATTCAATAGTATTTTAATACTATAATGGGCTCAATTGTATTTTAATGCCGTTTAAAAATGCTTTGATCTGTAGCTGGTTTTAATCTTACTGTGGACCTCCTTGACTCCCAGGGCCTAACTCTAAAAAACAAGAGAGCACTTTGTTAAATCAAAAGAAAAGAAAAGGTCTTAACAGTTGGAAGCATCTGCCTGTCATGGCCGGAGTCTTCCACGCCTCCCGTAGTTTGCCCGTTACCTTGTTCAATCTTGTAGCTGGTCTTGTGGGCGTTAACTCAGCCTTTGTTTGAGTTTTCAAATGCTGGAAGTTCTGCTGGAATTACTTCTCTGGAAAAATGACAATGAGTTCAGCTAAGGGTGTGTGTGTGTTATCTGTAATGTATAGTCTGACATACAGTCTTGGAGGAAAGCTCATGGGGGGAATGAATCAGTCGGTTTAGTCTAACACGAACAATACAGGACAGATGGTGGACATGCCAGGTTTGGGGAACGCTCCTGGTGCCCTGCTTTCTTGCATGTGTCTGCTTCCTTTTGCCCACACTTGCTGCTCGCCTCACTTCTCCCTCTGGTGCTGTCTGCATCACTTGAGAGAGGGGTGGGGTGGGGACAAGACGAACAGCGAGTTCTCCCTCCTCCACTTGTTGTGCCATTGCTACAAGAGGGTAGGTGATAGGATGGCTACCTACACATAACCAAAAAGAGAGAGAGGAGGACAGGGATTGGTATAAAATGGCATATGTTTATTTACATGTACAGATGCAAGCCCGGAAATGACTTTTGTGATTTAAACAGGATTACAAAGCTTCTCATGGGGGGTGGGGGGGGGGAGACACTTGACTAGGAGACCTGAATGCCTGCCGAGTTAGCTGCCCAGGCGATGCTCACTAGGGACGGGCAACTCGGAGGACCTTGATCTCTTCCCTGCTCTTCTTTATCTTTAAGTCGGATTTGGACCGGAGAACCCTTCCAATGGGGAACGCCTTCAAAAGGAGGACTGCTGCACTCTTTCAAAAGGAGGACGTGTGGCCACTCTACAGATGTACGGACTGGTATGAGAAGCAGGAACCTTCTGAGAACGAACAGAGGATCTCAGCAAGAGCTTGCATTAGGTCTAAAGAGGTCTATGACACCCATCCATGGTCACAGGGCCACCTTCATGGATTGATCACGGGTCTGTGATGGAAGACAGGGCCTTTACAGAGGCCTGAGAATGCCAACCCCTTTCTCCGGTGCTTGACAGCTGCCTAGCAATCAGAAACAGGGGACTCAGCAGGCAATGCAGGCCCCTTGGTCACTGCTTTCCCCTCTTGAGTGGATTACTCATAGGGGAAAAACTGGTTTTGAATTGAGTTTAGAATGTTTCTAATCAATCCAAAAGCTGTAGGCTACACGATGCACAGGGAATCGTGGATTGAATTGAGTTTAGCATGTTTCAAATCAATCCAAAAGATGTAGGCTACACAATGCACAGGGAATCGTGGATTTTTTTGTTCAGGAAGTGTGTCTTTTTCATCGGGAAGCAAGGTATATCCAGAAGTGAACTGCTGGATACTCCAGTGGTTTAGGCAACTGGCTGCAGATCTAGAGTTTGAGAGTTCAATTCTCACTGTGCCTCCTTAAAGGGCTGGAGTCAATGATCCATAGAGTCCCTTCCAACTCTGCAGTTTTAAGATGATGATGATGATGATTTGGCCACAAGAGGGTCACTTATTTTAATTCACTTGTGAACTTGGTTTATTTTGAATGTGTGTGTGTTTTTTTTTTGGCATGCATGAATGCCCCTGTCTGTGGGGTTTGGCAAGTAATGGATGCCAGCATCACAAGTTCTCGGCTGCGGGAAACCTCTGATCTGAAAAGAGAGCCAGCCGCTCCCTCCTTCACGAGCCTAGAAGCTGCTGATCATATTTCTCTGGTCAGTTTCTCTTTGCCTCTCATCCATGTGCCTTCCCTCTTGTCTCACGTTGGCTGCCTGTCATAGCCACTACCTGCTGCTGCATGTGTGTGTGTGTGCATGTGTGTGCACACCTGCCAACATGAAGAAGGAGAGGGAACTGGTAGTCAGGGCTGGCTCCCTCCTTCACGAGCCTAGAAGCTGCTGATCATATTTCTCTGGTCAGTTTCTCTTTGCCTCTCATCCATGTGCCTTCCCTCTTGTCTCACGTTGGCTGCCTGTCATAGCCACTACCTGCTGCTGCATGTGTGTGTGTGTGCATGTGTGTGCACACCTGCCAACATGAAGAAGGAGAGGGAACTGGTAGTCAGGGCTGGCAAGAGAAACTGACCAGAGAAATTGACGAAGATCAGCAGCTTCTAGGCTTGCAGGAAAGGGAGCTCTTTCTCCCGTCCAACCTTTCTCTCTCTGCTGCCTCCCACTTGAGATCAGACTGCAAGGGTTTCCTGCAGCCCAAAACCCATGATCCTGGCATCCGGTGCTTGACAAACCCCACAGACCCAATTTACTGCTGGTTCCCTCAAACCTTCTCCTTCTCCACTCCGTGTGTGTGTGTGTGTCTTTGTCTGTCTCCGTGTGCATGTATTGGGCTGCTGAGCAAGCTTGCAGTCTGATCTGTTTTGATTTTTGTTTTCCTATCTGCCAGGCTAGCCGCTATGGCGGATTTCAAGAAAGAAAAAGCATTTCTAAAATTATTTAAAATAACACCACAAATCTTTTCTCTCTCTGCTGCCTCCCACTTGAGATCAGACTGCAAGGGCTTCCTGCAGCCCAAAACCCATGATCCTGGCATCCGGTGCTTGACAAACCCCACAGACCCAATTTACTGCTGGTTCCCTCAAACCTTCTCCTTCTCCACTCCGTGTGTGTGTGTGTGTCTTTGTCTGTCTCCGTGTGCATGTATTGGGCTGCTGAGCTTTCTCTCTCTGCTGCCTCCCACTTGAGATCAGACTGCAAGGGCTTCCTGCAGCCCAAAACCCATGATCCTGGCATCCGGTGCTTGACAAACCCCACAGACCCAATTTACTGCTGGTTCCCTCAAACCTTCTCCTTCTCCACTCCGTGTGTGTGTGTGTGTCTTTGTCTGTCTCCGTGTGCATGTATTGGGCTGCTGAGCAAGCTTGCAGTCTGATCTGTTTTGATTTTTTTTCCTATCTGCCAGGCTAGCCGCTATGCCGGATTTCAAGAAAGAAAAAGCATTTTTAAAATTATTTAAAATAACACCACAGCAGCAGTGGGTAGTGACTGTGAGAGGCAGCCAGGGTGAGGGTGGGAGGGTGCAGGGCACTGTCCCAACTGCAAGGACTCTTAAAGCCTCTGTAGCCCCCTCGACCAATAAACAACACAGTTTGAAAACAGTTTAAAAGTTTTCCCCAAAACTATGTGTTTTCCATGCAACTTTAAACCAATTTCAATGACCTCCCCCCCAATTCCTCTCTTGATTCATTTTCATAG